CTCTTGCTGACCAAGGAGCCCAAAAACAAATGACAAGAATGATTTGTATGCAAGTGATATTAATTGTTTTCTCTCTCGCTCCTTATGGTATTTACAGTATCTATCTCTGGTGTACATCTGGAGTGAATGCGAAAACAGATCCTAATTCTATTCAGTACTTTATCTCTTTAGCTACTACCCTGCTAATTTGGGTCAATTATGCGGTACGTTTCATTTGTTGTAGAAAGATTGTTTATATTTTTTCGTATTATTTTTAGGGTAGTTTTTATGTTTTTCTAATGGCTTCAAGTCGTTTTCGTCGGACAGTAAAAAAACAAATCTTCGGTAGGTGGTACAGGACAAACGAGATTAATCCAACTAGTCAAACATGATAGTACAGTCAACTTTATCAAAATATTGATTTCAGCAAAGACTTAGTTACTGACACCAAATGGCCTATACATGACGTTAACTGTTGTGTTTTATATTGTTCATATCCTCATATTCTCCTTCATTTTTCGGTTCAAATCCTGCTTCTATCTACTAGGCTTTCGTGAATTGCTGTATTAAAATTGTTGTCAATTTTTTTCTAGTTGTTGTTGTCGTCTGTCTTGTACTATTGTTGTCAGTTTTGTGTTGTTGTTGTTGTTATATATTTGGCCGGTATTAATTATTTGGAATAAAATGCCTTATCCGTCATATTTGTAAATTTTATTCAGACATAAATATAACAAAATAAAATAGGTTGCCGTACGATTTCGACTTTTTAAAAATATTATCAATCTTGAGAGTGTGAGTATGAGTAGTAAACAGAACGCACACTCACAGCTCTAGCCCATTCTCAAAATCTAACCCGTGTGTGGGTTGAGTCAAAGCTAGTTAATTCATCAACTTCTCTGAATATGAATATCAGAATAAACAAGTTGGAAAAAGTAATCAGGAATCAATCCTAAGAGATACCACAAAATGATTCTATTTATTCCCCCTACTGGAAGAAGAGTATAGGCAGAATGAGTTACGTACGTTCTTTCGTTCTTTAATTATTAATTATTTCACTGGTGTATAAAGTGTGACACAAGGGTAAACGAAGTCGAGGAACAAGAATCTAGTGTTCGTTTTTTAAAACAATTTTTTATAGTAGTTTTTGAGACAAAGGACCACTTTTTTTGCGAAAAAAATGTTTTTTTATAGAGTTTGATCTCATAATAGTCGTTACTTCGGAATCGACTTAACAATCTATTATTTTGTAATTTTATGTTATAATTTTTATGTAGTTATCAAAATATATTCTTAACAATGATACATTTTCTATACAAGTAAACAAAACATAGCATTCACACAGCGTGTACATGTACACTACAACTTGCACAATATTAATTCTTTTCAGTAGAGAATCAGCGATGTTAATATCGGGTGTGGATGTGGGTGTCTGCTCGTCCTACTCACAGCCACCCACACCCATCCCCTCAAACTAATTATTGCTGTCGTTACCGCTGGAAATCGTAATGATAATTTGATGTTAAATGTCCGTTTTCCGTCTTTGTATCTTTCTATATAGAAAATTCTATTATAACTTTTCGATAAAGATTGAAGAATATGTCTGGATAAAGAAAGAAAATTAGAGTGATCGAAATAGTATGACTGCATAGCGCACTTATCAGTTTAGTGAATCACACGAGATGTATAAAAAAACATCAAAACTTAGAAAAAAATCCAATATCTAATTGATTCGACCTTGGAGAATGTTTATGGACTAATTAAGACAAAAAAGTCCAATTCTTTTAATTATCATTGGACTGCGAGTACTGTTCTACGAATGTCAAAAAAATACAAACGTTTACAACAGTACAATCCTCAAAAACAGATTTTGCATGTCGCGATTATAAGATGCTGTTCGCATCTTCTGATAAGCATAATTTTTATCAGCACATCCATTCAAAATGTGCGAATATTTGATAACAATCTGTTTATAAGCAAGACATGTCGGTTAATGATATATCACAGAAATAATAACAATTCTAAACATATTTTAGATGATTCTGTTAAACAAAGAAAAATTATTTATATTAAAACATTTCTTTTCTCATTGACTTTTAAAAAGCATTTTTTTTCTTACACAAAAACGTTTAACTTAATGAAGTGCACAGCAAAAAAAAATCTTTTTGTAAGTATTAATAACTAACAAAAATACGTGGCAGGTGAAATATATTTTTATGTGTAGTTGTATAATGATCGATGATTTTTTTTGTTATTTATCAAGGGTTTTTGCAACTGAATTTTATTATTATATCTGTCAATCATGCTATTATATGTTTTAATTTTATGATTAATGTTTTCTTCAGACAACGTTGTTATAGAACTATTTTTTTTTTGATGACGTGGTTTTCCTTACTTACCTTGAAAACTGTCCAACAGAGTATGACATAAGAAAACAAAGTCGTCATCAGCATAATGCTATGATGCCGAAGAACAGTAATATTAATAAGTTATTCTAATTTCTTCTCTTACTTAAAAAAAACGTTTGAACTGACAAGTTTTTTGTAAATATAAGGTATAATCATGATTTCATTTCGCTAAAAAAAAGTATGATGCTTAGCTTTCATTGTAAAAATTTTTATAATCGAGAGGTAATGTGTTGTCCTTAATTTTTGATAGTAAATATTCTTTCTTTGACTAAAATAATTATAATTCTTCAAAACTTTAGATGAAAACTATTAGTCATATTGTACAGAAGTCTGATATTATTTCTCCTAATAAATTAGTAACAGTGAGCATCTGCGTCGTTCAAAATGTAAAAAAAATTTACTGTTGAAAAGAATGTCGATGCATTATTATAATTATTAACGGGAATACACTTTACTCAAACATATGAACTTCATTCTTGATATATTAACAGTGAAAATATTTTATAACTACCTCACTAGTGAAATAGCCTTGAGTATAATTGTTCTCATCGAAAAATACAAGTTAATAGATGTTTCAAACTACGAAAAGATCTTTGTCAAGAGATAAGAATTGCATAAGAAAAGAAGTATTTTTTCTGACTTTTATATGATATTATAAAAAAATACAGTTGATTTGAATAAGTGTATTTTATATTATGAAAATTACTTTCACCAAATGCAATGAGTAAAACTTTTTTTTCTTATTATACTAAAAATTGTATGTAGTCTTTTTTCCTTGTTTTTGAAATGCAGCTAGTGCGTTTTTTTTCATGTTTGGTAGAGAAGAAAAGATGAAAACAATTGCACTTAACCAAAATAATTTCATTATATTCTTAGTCGAGAAAATGAAGAGATGCACATTCCCTTATAACAATATATCGTAGAGACGTACGAATAAAAACGTTCATGGAATAAAGGTAAGATGAAATCTAATTATTATGTAGTTTTTCGATCATTTGTATAAAATATTCAGTAAAAATGATTTGAATAGATGTGGTATTTAATTTAAAAAAATCGAAGGAAAGTAAAAGTAGATATGTTCGTAATATTATTACTAATCATTCATATTTAACGTTGCTTTGGTATTCTAAATAAATTATTTCTACTACAAACAGTAGATAAATCCGACAAAATTCAATGAGATCCATATATTCAAAGTTGACGTAGATTTAATCTTAGTTAACTCTTTGTATTATCCATCAACGAGTTTTATTTATATCAGACGCCAATAATTAACTGGTTCGCCATACGCTGTTAATATAGTTATTTCTAGTACACTACCTATGTAGATAAAGTTACCATTACATTCGAGTCAAATCTTTTCATATTTGTTCAGAGATCTATATTAAACGTTTGGGATAGTTTTCTGTAGGAATATGATGTTAAATTCACCTGCATGCCTTTTCTCCCAGTTATATGATCATATCTTTCAGTTTGTATTTCTTGCAACGAGATGAACATAAGGAGTAGAAATGTAATTATGTAAAAAATAATATTTTTTAAAGTATTAACTTCTACGTCGTAGATGTTTGCCATCAGATAAACAACAAAGAAAAAATAATTTCTAACAAGTAAAATTTTTTGCCGTTCTCCGAATAGACGAGGCGATATTAACGATGGTAACACTCAACAAACAAACCTCTCCGGAATTGTATTTTATTATAATATATAGATAGTTTCATAATGGAAATCAGTTACAAAAAAAAATAAATTCAATTTCTGTATATATTAGAGAAGATACGTATTTGAAATACTTGAAAAAGAACGTTTCTAATGTTTTTTTTATTGAAGAAAAAAGAATTGTGAAGCATAAACAAATCGTCATAAGTATTAACTATTCACGATAGTCGATGCTTACGCAGGATAATAGTTTCATCGGAATTTAGATGATAGAATCGCTCATAAATCTCTAGATTAGCAGTCCGACATCAGAAAATTCGTGCCAGATCACTTTATTACAATCAATTGCGTTGCATAAGATTTTTTTCTAAGAGAAAGAGTCCTTTCTAAGCGATTTTATAAACATCCCATATACCATATGTAATTGTATTTCACAGAGGCGTTCGTAAACAAAAAAAAACGCTAAGATCGTAATGATATCTTAGTTTATCTGTGTAACGTTGCCATCAGATGTCACTACCTATTTAATATGACAATGAATTATATTTTAGATAATATATATGATATTATTTGACATTTTCCATATTTGGTTGTGGTTGCTGTTGATTGGATCAATATCAGGTGCGTGTTTGATACACTTTTCAAAATTGTTTTAGGAAGAGTAAAACTATTGAGCTTTGATCTTTTTTCGGACATAAATCTCCGACAAATCTCACCAATAATATATCACATTTATTCGATCTATACGAATCTGAGAAATGATTGAAGCCACAGCAAATTTTTCTGTCTATGGCTAAACTCGATATGATAACAACGTGTCCAAGACATTCATTATATTCTGGAATGCTTTAACAGATTAAAGCTCGAATTAGTAGTCTTAGAAATCAATATCAAAGTTTCGAAAAACATTTTCTATAGAATTTCATGTTTGAGTAATATTGTGAACGAAATTACTAAATGCTCCATTTGAGTTTATAATAATCTTTATCGTTCAAGCTTCAGTTACAGTTTTCTAATTTTATCTAGGCATCTCCTACAATCAACCTAAACTTTGCGCAAATGCATCGTGGAATTCTACAGCAATAACGTTCGCGAACAGCACTGTAGTTGGTACAAGTCCCACTGGTATTTTTGTCGATTCAAATAATACCGTCTATGTTGCTGATCGATTAAATAATCGGATCCAGGTATGGCTTAACGGCAATATGACACCCTCAAGAACTATCTCTGGTGGTTTGTACGCATCTTATAGCCTTTTCGTCACAGACAATGGTGATATTTATGTCGATAATGCCTATTCAAATATGCGAATAGACAAATGGGGAACAAATTCAAATAGTAGTGTTCCGGCGATGTATGTTTGTCCACAATGCACTGGTGTTTTCGTCGATATCAATAATATGCTCTACTGTTCAGTGTATGCTTCTCATCAAATTGTCTCGCAATCATTGGATAAAAGTCTCAATATGTTGAGTATTGTCGCTGGTACAGGTACTGCTGGAGCAACATCGTTAACACTTAATTCTCCTCGCGGGATCTTCGTCGATAATAATCTTAGTTTATATGTGGCTGATGGCAACAATAATAGAATTCAAAAATTTTTATCAGGACAGTTGAATGGAACAACAATAGCAACAGGAACCATCACTTTGAATTTGCCAATTGCAGTTGTTCTTGATGCTGATGGATATCTATTTATTAGTGATTTTAATAATAACCGTATTATTGGCTCAGGACCTTACGGATTTCAATGTATTGCCGCTTGTTCTGGACTAGGATCGCAATCGAATCAGTTATATGCCCCAAGAATGCTTAGTTTTGACAGTTATGGAAACATATTTGTCAGTGATTACGGCAATAATAGAATTCAAAAATTTCTCCTGATTACAAATGCATGTAGTAAGTAAAAATTAATTGTATCACATCCAACAATGGACAGGTATTAGTATAAGTGAACGAGAGTCGATATTTTATTCATTAAAATTCAGAATACACTTATATATGTCCTTACATCAAACTCGGAAGAAAAAATTGTCCTGTGTTTATTTTTCAATGAAATTATTCTTTTTTAATTCAATTTCTCTTATAGATGGAACGACAGCTGTTACAACTATATCTACTGGTATTTTCTCATCGATTATGCTTTACGAATAATTTATATTTCTTTTTAATAGTAACTTCAACCAATACTACTTTGACAACTGCATCATCTTCAAAACGTACGTAATTTCTTTATCAGAATGTTTGAAAATGACTTAAAGTAGACTACGATCATCTTTTTTGCGAGAGAAGTGCCGAAGGGCTGATAAATAGACATGCTTCTGCAATTCTTCTACAGAAGTAGATGGCGATATAGATAATCGGTTGATGCCAGTGTGGATTTTGATTGATCACTATGGGTCTATCTGATTTACTTTTCTACTCTTATAAAGTTGGACCGTGTCAAATAGCATTGTTCAATTATGAAATCGTATTTGCAAACAGTTAGGACGAATTTAGATCTATCCATCTGGTCCTGTCTGATCTTTTCAACTTAGCACCATCTTAGGCTAGAGGTAGTTCATCCCTAACTAGAAAATTTTAAGATGAATATAAAGACATATATGAGCTACCAGCGGAGAGATTTTAGAAGAGATTAAATTCTTTTATGACTTTTTTTGATCTTACCACCAACACTCACCGTTCCTATTTTCAAGTTGGATATGTATAATTTAGAAAAGCAAAGTAGCTTTGTTTAATAGTTCCTGACAGTTGAAAAATTCCGATTTCTCAGTTCTCCAGCGTTGCTAATTGAAGGCGATAAAATATTTGAACGAATGTGAAGAGTTTCTGATATACTAAACTAATCTATTAATCTAACGAAATAAATCGTTAGACGTGTTCGAGTCCATAATATCTAAGTATAGAGTAGACGATTTATATATCGTCGTCGAATACGGGGTTATTAAGGCTGAGTGGCTTTGTCGCTTTTAATACAGTTTAATAATTTTTATAAGAACTTTGGATAAAAATGTTTTTTAGTTCTTTCTTACAATTTACCGAAATTCACTGCCTATACTTCTTGGAGCGCCAATGGAATAACTTTTGCTAATACGACTATAATTGGAACAAATCCGTATGGTATATTTATTGATACTAACAATACTATATATGTATCTGAGCGAACTCCAAACCGTGTTCAGGTGTGGCATGACAGTAGCAGCACACCCATAAGGATTCTCACCAGTGGTTTGTCTAATCCATTTACTGTATTCGTTACTATTAATGGTGATATCTATATCGATAATGGTGGTTCAAATACTCGAGTTGATAAATGGACATTAAATTCAAGTACTAGTACGTCAGCAATGTATGTGAAGAACTCGTGTTGGGGTCTCTTCATCGATATTAATAATAATCTTTATTGTTCAATGTATGCACTCAATCAAGTTGTCGTGAAATCATTGACTACTAATTCAGCTATGTGGACAGTTGCTGCTGGTGCAAACTGTTCGGTACCAAGTACGAATACACTTAATGGTCCTTGTGGAATTTACGTTGATATAAATCTTAATTTATATGTTGCTGATTGCGGTAACAGTCGAATTCAATTATTTCTATCAACACAAGTAATTGGAAAAACGGTCGCAGGTACGGGAGCAATAGGGACTATTGCTCTAAGTTGTCCTACTGGAATTGTTCTTGATGCTAATGATTATCTCTACATTACGGACTGTGATAATCACCGTATTGTTGCGTCAGGACCGAACGGATTTCGCTGTTTGGTTGGATGTTCAGGCGTTTCTGGGTCATCATCTAGTCAATTATATTATCCAACAGCTCTAAGTTTTGATAGTTATGGAAATATGTATGTTGTTGATCAATATAATAATCGAATACAAAAGTTTCTTATAGAAAGTACTTCTTATAGTAAGTACAATATAATCTTCTTTTCTCATTATTGAACAAGCGAGAAAAAATATTTTAATATTTCATCTCTTCATTGCATTTTCAAAATTCTCATTTCAACAAATACGTCGTACTATGCTACTCAGATAGCTGTAGTGTCGATGATATGAATAGTAATTCGATAAATTAAGATTGAAAAGTATCTAAAATATCGAGTTTTAAAGTCATACTATCTATTGAAGTTACTCGCGACTTGTAATCTTGCGCATATCTGAGTAAGTGAGTTGATATCTCTGTATATATGCATCGATTGAAGCCTGTCACACTACACATTTCTTCTAAGTGAACAATCTGTGTCCGAATATAACGCAAAACAACAATGTTATTTAATGCTCTGAATAATTACCGGTCACATTTTTGTTATTTGTTTCATGAATATAGATAAGTGGATTTCATTAAATTCGAACTATAGAATTTAACCGAAGTACAGCACTTAAGATCTGGATTTGGTCGTGTAAATCATTGAAAGCTGAGTTGCTTTACTTTAGTCATTCATCAAAAGAATTCAGAGGCAGGTCGGTGTTCTATGTAGAGGTAAAATTAGTAATCTTTGTAGGAAAAATATCAAGCCTATGAAACTGTCTTCTGATAGTATTTGATACTACAATATAGCTGAAAACAACAAAATATTCTTCTTCTTCTTCATTAAAATTAGATTGATTCTTTTAAATAAGAATGGTTTGACAATATATTCTAACAGAAGTGAGCGAGATATCTAGCCAATTTTTGCTTTTTATTAGGTGTGACTCTTAATCAACCAAATCTGTGTCCATCTGCAACTTGGTATACAAATGCAATTACATTTGCTAATAGTAGTACGGCTGGAACTTATGTATATGGTGTTTTTGTTAGTATTAATAATACTGTTTATGTAGCTAATCAACAAACTAATAAGGTTGTAGTATGGCTCGAAGGAAGTATTAATCCAGATAAAATTATTTCTGGTAATCTGAGTACACCAAATGATCTTTTTGCTACTCCCCTAGGCGATATATATGTCGATAATGGTGCAAATGGTCGAGTTGATAAATTTGCATTCAACTCAAATCTAAGTACTTCTGTAATGTCAGTTCCTGCTGCGTGTTATGACATTTTTGTTGATATTAGTAATACTCTTTATTGTTCAGCGTCTAGTTCTAATCAGGTTGTTAAGAAATGGTTAAATGATAATGTACTCACGTCAACTATCGTTGCTGGCAACGGTACAGCTGGATCAACAGCAACTATGCTTAACTTCCCTATTGGAATTTTTGTCGACGCTAAATTTAATTTATATGTTGCAGATTCTACTAATTGCAGAATACAGATGTTTCCTATTGGACAATTCACTGCAATAACTTTAGTAGGAGCTAGTGTACCAGGAACTATTACACTTTTGAATCCAAGTGGTATTACATTAGATGGTAATGGATATCTTTTTATTGCGGATTGTTATAATCATCGAATAATTGGATCAGGACCATATGGTTTTCGATGTTTATTTGGATGTACAACAATATCTGGTTCTGCACCAAGTCAATTGTATTATCCAGCCACTTTAAGATTTGATAGTTATGGAAATCTATTTGTTGCTGATAGATTTAACTATCGCGTGCAAAAGTTTATATTAGCATCAAATTCATGTAGTAAGTTATTTTTAGTTTATGTTTTCCATGATATAAATTTATCTCTCTTAGGTCTTTCTTATAATCAACCAACATTTTGTTATAATGCTTTATGGTATTCTAATGCAACAACTTTTACATCAAGTAGTACAATTGATACATTACCATATGGTATTTTTATTAATGGAATTAATACTGTGTATGTACCTAATCGAGTTAGCAACACTATTTTATCATGGCCACAAGGAAGTAATACATCAACAAGTAAAAGTTATAGTAATTTGAGTAATCCATATAGTCTTTTTATGTCTATTACTGGTGATATTTATATTGATAATGGTTATTCATATGGTCGAGTTGATAAATATACATTTAATACATCAAATCGTGTAACTGTTATGAATGTTAATGGAAGTTGTTATGGTTTATTTATTGATATTAATAATAATCTTTATTGTTCACTTAAAAATCTTCATCAAGTAGTTAAACTTTTACTTAATAATGGTACAACCATTCCGACAATTGCAGCCGGGAATGGTTCTGCTGGATCACTATCAAATATGCTTAATTCTCCTCAAGGAATCTATGCTGATAGTAATCTGAACCTTTATATTGCAGATTGTGCTAACAATCGTATTCAATTTGTTCAAACTGGTCAATTAAATGGAGTGGCAGTCGTTGGTAATGGATCATCAACAAATATTATGCTCAACTATCCAACTGGAATTGTCCTTGATGCTAATGGTTATTTATTTATTGTCGATAGTTATAATCATCGTATTGTTGCTTCAAGTTATTATGGTTTTCGATGTATAGTGGGATGTTTGGGAGGTGGTTCAACTGCGTCTCAATTATCTTTTCCACAAAGTATGGCTTTTGATAGCTATGGAAATATATATGTTACTGATCGAAATAATAGTCGAGTGCAACAATTCACTCTTCAAACTAACAATTGCAGTAAGTTTGTTTGTGTATAGTAGAAGATTATGAAATGGTAGTTGATACTTAGTTTTTTTGCGACTATCATTTGAAAAAATTGACAAAAATCAGATGATATGTTGTTTGAATTATTTGGTCTCATATTGATGTTTTTAGTATAACTTCTCTTTAATTTAACTGAATAAAGTACTATTGTTTTATATTTCAGCAATACCGACTACCACCACCACTACTACTACGAGCAGCACCAGCAGTACCTCAACTAGCACTACTACTACTACCACGAGTAAGACTACAAGCAGTAGCAGTACAACAAGTAGTACTACCACCACCACTAGTAGCACTACTACTACTACAACCAGTACTACGAGTAGCACTACGACTAGCAGTACCACTACGAGCAGTAGCACTACCACTACCACCACCAGTACCACAAGTAGCAGTACTACAAGTAGCGCTACTACTACTACCACCACCAGCAGTACAACTACAAGCAGTAGCAGTACCACAAGTACGACTACTACTACTACTGCTACCACAAGTACTACAACAAGTAGCAGTAGTACCACAAGTAGTACTAGTACGAGCAGCAGTAGCACCTCAAGTAGCACTACTACCACGACCACCACTAGCAGTACTACTACTACTACCACCACAAGTACTACAACAAGTAGCAGCAGTACCACAAGTACCACTACCACCACAAGCAGTAGTACCTCAAGTAGCACCACTACAAGCAGTAGCAGTACCACAAGTAGTACTACTACGAGCAGCACTAGTACCTCAAGTAGCACCACTTCAAGCAGCAGCAGTACTTCAAGTACTACTACTACTGCCACTACCACCACTAGTACTACAACAAGTAGCAGCACCACAAGCAGTACTACCACGAGCATTAGCACTACTACTACCACTACCACCACCAGCAGTACCACTACGAGCAGTAGCAGTACCACAAGTAGTACTACCACCACAAGCAGTAGTACCTCAAGTAGCACCACTACAACCAGCAGCAGCACTACAAGTAGCAGTACTACAATTAGTACTACCACTACCAGTACCTCAAGTAGCACGGCATCCATCACAACTTCTCAAACATCAAATATTAATGAAAGTAATAGTATGAATAATATAAAAAATATAGTTTATCGATTTTTCTTTTCTAAATTAGCTTGTTATTCACCGACGATTACATTGATTCCTGGACAATCATCTCTATCATTTCCAATGTCATATCGGCGTAGTCAGGATTTTTATATTAGTTCGATGATTCAATTTAATTGTGATGGTTCACTTTCGACAACTACGAAATGGACAATAAAGAATTGCACGTCAACTAGTTGTTCAGTTGAAATTCTATCAAGTGAAAAAGTTAAGACAACATTTAGTGAACTTTATATTCCATCAAGAACTCTTGATTATGGTGTCTATCAACTAACATTGACTGTGACAATGATTGATTCACCGAATTTAAAATCATCATCTTCAGCTTATGTAAGAATAACTGCAACAGGTATAACAGCAAATCTTGTTCAATTAGGAACATCTATGGTAACACGAGGTGATCAACAGGATCTTTTACTTGATCCTGGAACATTTTCGGTTGATCCTGATGAAGATACATTTGATGCAACTGTAAGTAATATCAATACACAAATATTCAAATAAGTGTTATTTTATTTTTAATCATAGAAATGGAAATATACATATTATTGTCGAATTTATGGTTTATATAATTTCCCAAATATACAAGGAATATTATTATCAATTGATGATTCAACAGTTGATCCTTATAATCCATCATGTTTGTCCAGTCGATCAGGTAAAATTGTTAATGACAGTCTAGTTTTATGGATGCTCCTAATCTTTATTGAAATATTTCTCTTTTTTACTTTTTATAAAGGAAATGGAACAGGATTGATATTTGGAAATTTAAGTTTATCACCTAATTCATCTCTAACAGTTCTTGGCGGTTCACTTCAATCAAATCAAATCTACCAATTTATGGTTTATATGGAAAATCGTAAGAATGCTTCTATTCAAGCAACAGGTTATGTTCTTATTACAGTTGAAATTACTCATCCGCAACTGATTGCTGTTGGGTAAATTATTTATAAGTTTTTAATTGAATTATTCTAATGAAAAAGATTTATTTTAGTTGTGTAATATCACCAATGTGTGTTCCAAATCTTGAATTTCAACTTCTTAATCCAACAACACAAGTTGCTCTATTTACTATTTGTATTGGAACTTGTACAAATCTTCAAAATATTAAATGGAATATTTATCAAGGATCGGACAATTCAACAACTTCAAATTCTACTCAATGGACTTTATTTAATCAAACAAGTTCATATGAAAATATTTGGTTTTTTGGTAAAAATCTTGTGTTTTTAATTATCAGATATATTTTTTTATTGATTATTTTAGGTACAAATACAAGTAATTTCACAGCAACAGATCAATTATTTCTTAATAATCTTCAAATAAGTCTTTGGCGTTTTGAAGTTGTTTATACATTCCAATCCGCAATAAGTACAAGTGCATTGAATTTTATTATTAATCAACCGCCTTCAAATGGTTCATGTTCAATTAATCCTCTTAATGGTACTATAACTACTTTATTTACTATTGAGTGTCCAAATTGGTATGATGTAGATGGAATACAAGATTATTCATTATATGGTATGTTTAGTTTTTATTACGGACTGACTATTTCTCAATGATAGTGACATGTTCAACTCTTTATTATATATCAGTATTGATTTCAACAAGAAAAGTTTAGTTTTTCATGTATAGGGTGAAAACAGTGTATTTAACAAATTGTTTATAAATATAAATATTGAGCAAATCTCTATTATTCATAGAAAAATCAGTTAATTTACTTGAGCATTAGTGAAAATAGTCAATGTATGTTTTGATAAAGTGACTTTTGCACATCTTGTAATTTTTAGCATGGACAACAGACATATCACAACGAACAATAATTGCATTTTCATCAGAATATAATTTTCAAGTTCGATTACCAACTGGTGATAATGAAACTTCATTACTTAATCTTGTTGTTTACGTTCGAGATCTTGCGGGTTCTGTTACACAAGTGAATATATCTTCTGTTAATGTTATTGCAGATTTGACAATAATCAATGATTTAATTGATAAAATAACAAATTCATCGAGTACAATAACAAATAATCCAATTGTTCGTTTACTTTCAAGTGGAAATCAAAATGTTGTTGGACAAATGATCATTGCATTATCACAAGAATTCAATCAAATGAATAATGAAAATTTAGATAAAGCTATATCAAGTAAATATTCATATTCAGTTTATCGAAAGATAATTAAAATAATTTTGTTTTAGATGGAATATCAGCTGTAGATATTTCAGTATCATTATTAGGAAGACAAAATTTACAACAAGTAATTGAATTTAATAGATTTGATTTGATTTGATTTTCATTTAAAATAGACTTCAATACCATTGAATGAATCAGCTTTGATTGATTATAATATAGAATTAAATTCTCTGGCAAATGTTCGAGATTATCTAGTACCATTTATAACTAATCTTCTTATAACAACATCAAATAGTATCATATTACAATCATCATCATTAGTTCAATTAACCCAAGCAACAAATCAATTAACACGAAATACTTTAGTAAAATTATAAAGAATATTTTTATTGAAAATATTTATATTTTTGAATAATTTTAGATGTTTGTATCAAATAGATGTTATGAATTATCTGCTGCATTATATGCAATGTTTGAAAAAATCTCATATGAAGATGCTCAATCAGCATCAAATCAACTTTTTCAATGTGCTTCAAATATTTTAAATGTAAAATATATGAAATCAGTATTCTTATGTCTCTATCAAACTCTTTACAAAACTAAGATTTATAAAGGGAAATGATTCTCGATAAAAAAAAACACTTTCGAAAGATCATCTGCCGTATGATAGCTCTATTTTTGCTTCTCCTCAATCTGTCACTGATGAGAGTCACGTTACTGATCATCTATGAAAAAATAAATATGATAAAAAGAATATATATCGTAACTGTTAGACGTTGTAAAGTACTAGCACGTTTCCTAAAGATTTTAACATAAAAAACAATTTTTTTTTCTTCAATTATTGATCCTAATAATTTTAGGCTGTGAATGGACCATTACAAGGACGAACAAGTACACTTGACTTAGATTATTCTCGTGCAAATATGGTACCAACTGATTATAATACTGATCTTGAATCTGCATGGTCAAATTTAAGTACGATTCTTTTAATATAATTAATTATTATTGCATTTGAATTTGTTTTCTTCTGAAGATTTATTTTCTGGTGGAAATGATTTTTCTACTGAAACAATTGAAAGAAATCGAAATATTTATTATCAAAAACAATTAGCAAATCAAATCAATAGTCAAGTAACACAAATGATATCATTATTAACTTCTTCATTAAATATTCATTTAAATATTGGTCAAAAGTCAATAATTAACACATCTCAATCATTTGTATCATTAGAAACTATATCAATTCAATCACTCAAAGATAAACTTGTGAAACAAGTTGAAAATGCTCAATTTAATATTCCATCCAGTTTTATTTTAAACTCAACGTCTAATTCTTCAATTTCACTTCGAGTAAATTTTTACAATTTGAATCTATTTTTGTTAAATTATTTTTTGTTTTATTCAGTCAAGAGTAGATCCACTTGCTTCATTTGGAAATTTCCAAAATACGAATCTTTCAAGATCAACTTCACTTTCAATTATCGATCAAAATGGAAATGAAGTTTCGTTTCAAGCCAATGGAAATAATTCAATAAAACTAATAATTCCTCGTGATCCAAATCTAGTAATTCCATCAATGTATTTACAAACTGTTACATCAATTAATTCAACTATTAATAATTTATTATTTAATTATCATTATATTAATATAACAAGTTCACTTCCTATTTCAATTCATTTTGAAATTCATTCTTTAAATACAAATTTAAGTTATTTATTTATTTATAAGTTCGATCAAACACCACTATTAAATAGTTCAATTAATATTATTGATGGATGGACACTATTTTGTCCTTTTAGTATGTTTTCTTTTCTTGAACATTCATATAGATTTCTTTTTTTGTAATTATAGATTTAACCAATGATGATATATATCGATATTTTATTGATAATCAACAAACACCTGGTCATCAATCATTAATTTTTGGAATACGAGAATTAAATTCAACAGAAATAAATAATTATTGTTTAAATAGTTCTTCAATAAACACGTCTTTACCAATTACCAGTGAACCATTTAATTTTACATCAAATTATGAACTTCGTATATATACATCAGGTTGTTATTATCTTGATGAAAATAATAATTGGAAATCAGATGGATTAATTGTAAGTATAAGATAAATTAGAAAAATAAAGAATCTTTGGTATTTATTTAATCTTAGGTTGGATCGTTGACAAATCATTATGAAACAGAATGTTTATCAACTCATTTAACATCATTTGCTGGTGGTTTTATTGTTCTACCAGAACCAATTAATTGGAGTTATGTTTTTGCAAATGCTGATTTTCTAAAAAATAAAACAATTTATTTAACAGTTATTTGTATATCTATTGCTTATATTATTTTGATGATTTTTGGACGTTTTAAAGATAGAAAAGATATTGAAAAAGTAAATTTAGATGGTTAATAATATTTCTTGATTAAATTTATTTCATTTATTTCTTTAGTTAGGAGTAACACCATTACCTGATAATGATAAATCTGATCAATATTATTATCAAATTCTTGTTTTTACTGGTCAACGAGCAAATTCTGGAACACAATCAAAAGTATAAAAGATGAATTTTGTTTCTAATTAAATAAATCTTAATTTGATTAGGTTCATTTTATTCTCTCGAGTGATAATGATGAAACGCGTGTTCGAACATTCTCAGATCCTCATCGAAAAATACTTCAACGTGGTGGAATTGATTCATTTATTATGAGTGTTCCAAAGTAAATTCATTTAACACTTGAAATATATTTATGTGTTGTTTTTAAAGATCATTAGGATTATTAAATT